TGATCAGAAGAATATGATGCTAACAGAAGAGACTGAAATAGAATGAATTGTTACATTTTTGTGGATGCACATCACACATTGGCTTCACCCTCATTTCTTAAACTATGTTCTAACAAGGATAGATAATAGTTACTCTTTCCCACAGCTCTACATCATATAAATATAACTTATTCTTCAAGTCATTCACCATGAAAAAAGAATTAATGACTTCTCAATCCCATGATCACTGTTGGCAGTCAATACATCACTCTGCTTTTTGGATAAAAAAAGGACAGAAAAGCAGCAATGCGAGTATCAACCACATCACAGTTTTCCATGTAACATATATACTTGCTTTTTTATTACTAATTGTAATTGAAGAGTTGCTGAAACTTCTCTTTTAAATCAAGGATAACTTATCAAGCAAATCTATTTGGACTGTGTGACATGAGCACTGACATATATTCTTTAAAACAGAATTCAAACTTCAGCAAGTGAGAAAGGTTAAAGGGAAAAGCATTATCATTTAAAATGTGAAACTAGACAGAAAGAGCAATCTATACTCAGGAGCTAGCAGAAGGTTTCCTACTAGATGTCAATAAATGCACAAAATACTAATTAAAAGAAACTTACAATATTATCATTAAATTTTAAATTATTTTAAATTTCAATTGCAAATTTTTCAGCATTTGTTTATTGTTACGGAGCCTGGCCCAACCACATAGGAAACTGAATTCAACAAAAAAAATTCCTCCGGTTGATTAAACTATGTTTATCTGTCTGAAATAAAAAGCCCAATGATACCAGATTACAGTAATTATGTTCTCTTCAAATTCAGATTACTATAACAGAATACACAACAAAATCTAGTGAGGTGTAAAAAGACAGCATAAACAAATCTACCTTTTTCATAAACAAAAAAAGCTGTCCTATTAAATCTGCCTAATCGAGAAAGAAGAAATGAGTGTAAAGTCGCTAAGCACACTGTAGTTCAAAACCAAAAAGACAGAAGTTGTTTTGGGAAATACACTCTTTCTTCTTCAGTGATGAACTGCTGAGCACTGCTAACAGTATTCTGGGCTGCACCCAAAGTGTGGCCAGCAGCTTGAGGGAGTGGATTCTGCCCCTCTGCTCTGCCCTGGTGAGGCCCTACCTGGAGTGCTGTGTTCAGCTCTGGGGACACCAACATAACAAGAATATGGGCCTGTTGGGACTAGTCCAGAAAAGGGCCACAAAGATAATTAGAGGGCTGCAGGCCCTCTCCTACCAAGACAGGCTGGAGAAGAAAAGGCTCTGGGTAGACCTTAAAGCAGCCTTGCAGTACCTAAAGAGAGCTGGAGAGAGACATTTCACAAGGGCATGCAGTGATAGACAAGGGAGAATGGCTTCAAAAAGAGTAGTTTTAGATTTGACATTAGAAGAAATTCTTTACTGTGAGGGTGGTGAGGAACAAGTTCCCCAGAGAAGTTGTGGATGCCCTGTCCCTGGAAGTGTTCAAGGCCAGGTTGCATGGGGCTCTGAGCATCCTGGTCTATGGAAGGTACATGGCAGGAGGGCTGGAACCAGATGATCTTGAAGGCCCCTTCCCACACAAACCATTCTGTGTTTCTACGAACCCTGAGGAGAGGCAAAAAGAACAGCAATAATCCCTTCTCACTGAAACACAATAACATGTTCAATATTACTTATTCAGGTAATGAATACTGGAGATGTCAAAAAAATCCAGCAGTGCAGGCATTGAAAGCCTATTGATTTTTTTATCATAGATGAAATATCGTAGAACACCAACAGAACAGAATAAATGTATTTGGAAACCTTTCAATTTTTATTTTTTTTTTTTTCATGTAGGAACATGCTTATTGGTGTTCCTTTTATAGATTTTGGCTGCAAAAACATCTATGAATTTCAGTTCCCCCATATAACAGAGAAAAATGTTTTGGGTTGGGTTCTTTTTTTTTCTTTAAGCATGTTATAAATATAAAAGTCTGCTTGTGCTTTTCAAGATTGTTTCTAGGCTGATGCATGAATTGGTAGAAAGACTGTCAAAACATGTACAACTTCTTCAGCAGAGTTGTGAAAGCCTGAGTGAACTGTAGGCTGTATCAAAAAGTAATGGAGTAGGAGCTTTATCCTAAAGAAATATCATAAGAAGTAACAGAATTATTTGAAAAACATGGGACAAATGCATCATCAGCCTCAAAATACCCCAAAACGAACTCCTTCCCTAAAAAAACTCAAACAAACAAAACCTCAGAAATTACATGGACTGCAGCAAAATTTCAAATAAATATTTTGGACCAAAGATATTTGAAAAATGTAATTTTCAGACACTAACTTTCAGTATTTAACAGAGCAGCAATAGTAAACATGACAAATCAACTGTTTTAAAGCCAGCAAAAGACCTTCTTAGCTTGGCTGAATACAATCGACAAAATCCAAATTTTCTGTACTTGGTGTTCTTTGCAACAAACAAAATACTTAATGAACCAAAAGAAATGTGAAAAAGATAATCGTGTATAAGACTTTTCTTTGTCTTCAGACATATTTTTTCTCCATCATAAAGCATGTGATATGCCGACACTGGAAAACCTATGCAGACCTCAGTTCTTATCTCACCATTACAGGATCAGTGATGCCAACCAAACATTGCTTAACCTTCTTCTTGATGATCCATATTTTTGCAGAAGTATGTAGAAGGGCAGTATGTCTGCTGGCTCCTATCTGCTTCTTTCACATAAAAGCCAGCAGCAATAATCCCCAGTACCCTTTAAGAACAAGCAGTGAATTTATCATATCTGCTTGTAATGCCCTTTGGGACTCTTCAGGAAAAAAGGCACTGTAAATGTAAGCTCATTATCATCATTAACTCCTTTTATACACCAGCTGAGCTCAGAAGGAACAAATGGGAGAAAAATGTAAGGGAAAAAAAGGTTAAATACATTTGTCATTCTCTTCTTTTCCTGGTAGATTTTAGCACTTCCCAGTTACTTTTTAACATTCATAGATACCTTTATTAGACTAGACTTATTATATATTAGGAATTCTTAAAATTACCTTGGTCAATTTTTTTCATGAGATTGTATTTACATTGCTGAGGAAGAAGAAGAAAATGGCTTGACTTGTATTTAGGGATTGGGAACACAGCAGTGCCTAAATTACTACACACTCCCATAAGCTTAGAAACACTTTACAGTTTCCACAGTTACACCTCACCTAAATGAGAGAGAATGGTTTGAGAAAAGGAAGAACTCTCTGTTTATCCTGTTTGTGTTTTCTGGGTAACTGTCACGGACATTCTTCAAAGGAAAAATAGCACAACACCTCAAACTGCTTTGTGGGAAAAACATTAAACTTTTAAACTAGTTGGGTATACTTTACACAAAAGCGCCACAAAATGGCAACTGGCAAGGGCGATGGAGAATCCTTAAGTGCACTTAGAGACTTACTGCATCAAAATTCGGCAAGCTGTCACCTGAACGAAATAAAAATCGGAGAAACAAGAAGAAAGAACTATGAAGTTTATCTGACAGTACAAATGCAAGAAAAAAAAAACATACACAAATGCCCATAGCAGGAAAGAAACCTGTGGAGACGCTTCTGATGCTATTCTGATGATGTATGAACACCACCTCCTTCGCTCAGCCTGCTGCTTCGCTTTGCGCTCTCCCAGGGGAACACGCTCCCCTTTCTCCCCGTCCGTGGCCTCTGTCCCCGCAACAAGGCGCCCTCACGGCCCCTCTGCCGTCCCGGTGCCCACAGCTTCCCGCACCGCCTCCCAGCCACCTCCGCTCCCATCGCCCGCCGTTCGTGCCGGGGCGAGACTCCTGGTGCCAGGGCAGGGCGCTTTGCTCTCCTGTCGCTTCCCTCGCTCCCGCTGGCACCCGCGGCCCCCGGAGGGCAGCCAGACGCTGAGACCGGGGCGCGCCGGTGGGCTGCGGAGAGCGGGCAGCGGGGATACGCCAGCAGGCGCTACATCTCTGCAAGGAGAGCTCGGGGGCTGGCGGGGAGCGTAGGGCCCGGCTCGGCTCGGCTCGACTCGGCTCGGCTCCCCACCCGCCCCTCGCCCCGGCCGCCCCGGCGGGCGGTGCCTCGGCCCCGCGGCTCCGCCGGGCGGCGCTTGCGCACTGCGGCCGCCGCGCCGCCCGCCCGCCTCTCCGGCGCGCCCCGAGAGCCGCGGCGGAGCCGGTCCGAGCCCGGCGAGCCGCGCCGGGCTGAGCGGGGCAGGAGGCGCGGGGAGGCGGCAGCAGGAGCAGAGCCCGCCGTACACCGGCCCCTGCCTGCACGGGCGGCCGTGGCTGCTGCCCCGCTTCACCTGGTGCCCGCAGGACTCGGGAAGCGAGAGCAGCCCCGAGGAGTCCGTCCCGGTGCTCGCCCGCCCGGCGCCGGCAGCGTCTTTGTTGCCCCGGCCGTGCTCGCCGTCCCCTGCCCGCGTGCGAGTGCTTGGGGGTGCAGTGATCGATCCCGGCAAGAGTTTTGCAAAGCTCTGAAACACCTTGAGCTGCGCGCAACAACCTGTGTTCTCCGAGGTGCTGGAGATGAGGAGTTAGCGTTCGCGACCGCCCGGCGAGGGGAGGTGTCTTCCTCCAGGGACCTTTCCTGACCCGTAGAGCCACTGCCTGCCCGCGGCGGCGAGAGGACGCAAATGGGCAGCACGAGACCGGTGCGGCTGCTGGCGAGGAGGCAGCGGTCCCGGGAAAGGGCGGAGCGCCGGGGGGGGTTTCTCCCGGCGCTGCACTTGCTACATTAACTCGGAGCGTCGGAGATAGCGACACAACTTTCCGGGTCTGCTCCGGGCGTCGGCGACAAGAGGCTCTTCGCCGCTCCGCTCGTCGCGCCCCCAGCGCCGGCCTCTGCCCGCGGCGGACCCCGGCGGCAGCGGCGTCGCGGCTGCTGCTGACCCGGCCCCGGCCGGGCGGGCTGTCCCCGGGAGCCGGGTGAACATGTCTCCAGCTCCCAGCCCCGCCGAGCGAGGCGGCCGCCGGGTCTGAAGGAGAGCGGGTGAGCCCCGTCGCCTCCCGGCCATGCGGCCCCTCCGCTCTCCCCTCGCCCTGCTCTGCCAGGTGCTGGGCGCTTGGGCTGCCTGCGCCCTGGCCCCGGACCCCGTCGCAGCCTCTGGGCCGCCGGCACCCCCGCAGCGCGCCCGCTCGCCGCCGGCCCCGCCGCCCCTCGCCCCGGGCCGGAGGGCGGGCGCGCCGGTCCCCGGGCGCGGAGCCCTCCCTCGCGGGGCCGACGGCGGAGCGGCGGGGCCGGGCGGCAGCTGCGCGCCCCGCGGGGCGGCGGGGACCGGGCGGCGGCGGGCGCGGAGCAGCGAGCCCGGAGCGGGCGGGCCCCGCTGGCTGCCCCTGAACGGCTCGGCCGGCGGCGAGGGCAGCCACGGGGGCCGCGGGAACGCCACGGGGCGCCGCGCCCGGCTCCGCAACCCCTTCTACCCGCTGACCGAGGAGTCGTACGGTGCCTACGCCGTCATGTGCCTCTCCGTGGTGATCTTCGGCATCGGCATCATGGGCAACATGGCAGTGATGTGCATCGTCTGCCACAACTACTACATGCGGAGCATCTCCAACTCTCTGCTGGCCAACCTGGCCTTCTGGGACTTCCTCATCGTCTTCTTCTGCCTGCCGCTGGTTATCTTCCAGGAGCTCACCAAGAAGTGGCTTCTGGAAGACTTTTCCTGCAAAATCGTCCCGTACATCGAGGTAATGTCCGTGGGTGGGGATACGCGGACCCCGAGCTCCTTTCCCCGCCGCAAGCCTGAGCCGTGTGCGGGGCCGGCGCTGCTCGCTGTCATTGCTGCCGGCCCGGGGATGTCCCGGTGCGCCCTGGTTCGGCTTTGCTGGGTGCTCTTGTGACGGAGCGGGGCCCCGTCCCGGCGCCGCAGGGACCCGAGTCGGCGCTGGCCGCAGCGGGTCCAGCGGCACCGGGATTTCTGTGGCTCCCGCTGAGTGCGTCCGGACCCTCGTGCGACTTCTGCCAACCTTTCCTTGTTGCCTGCGACTCTGAAAAACAGAATCTCAGAACTAGATTTCAAGTTTTTTGCTTTATTTATTTTAGTAAAGTGAAGATGAAGTGAAGATGAGGATGAAGGGCTTGAGGAGATCGCTTGTAAAGACGTGATTGTAAAAAGGACCATCAGTGGGATGTCTGGGCTCTTATATTTCAGCGTTCAAACCTCACGTTTATTTAGCTGCTTTTTGCGGGGGGGAATTGTTTTGTTTTGTTTTTTGTGTTTTTTAATCTTTATTTTTGAAAGACACCAGCTCCGTTTAAACTGCAGCTTGGCAGTTGTTCAGAGGCTCTGTCAAAGAAGCTCTCAGACAGCTGGCCACAGTCCTGCCGGCAGTGCTCAGGTTGTCTGTTTTATTTATTTACTGGAACTGAACACTAAGGCTTGCTGCTAGGGTGGTAGCCTGGAGTTCTGCTGGCTCTCCTGTATTCCTAAAACCTTATGTCCAACAGTATTCTGTAATAGAGAACTGAGGAAACAACTGGTGGTTCTCCTGTCCTAAGAATGAGCTGTTAGGAAACAAATCCAATCAAAAAAACCAACCCCCTATCCCCCTCCCAAAAAACCTTCAAATACCCAACCTGTTATTAATTCAGAGAGTATCAGTTTCAGCAGCACATTAGTACACAATAACACAGAATTACTTGTCAAATGATACTACAGTATTTTAAAGTGTTAAGAAAGGTGTGTGACCTGTGTAGCCATAAAGTTTCCACTGTTTCTTTTGTCTGTTTAGTTTATTACTATGGGATTGGACAAAGGGTGGAGCTGTGCTACTCTTAGTTGAATTCTAGGCCAGTACTATACCACTGCATTTAAAAAACTCAGAGTACACTTAATTGATTTGCATTTAAGAAGACATGATGCAGTAAATATATATGTATTGAGAAACTGATAGTGCTTGAATCCTTTAAAATTCCTGAAATGGATTCTGGGCCTGCTGTGTTAACCAATAAAATAAGTAGCAGCATTTAAAAAGTAACCATTTCAATTAAAATAGATAGCGTAGTTTGTGTTTCAAGGACTTTCATGTGACATTTCATGCTTCCTAACGCTTTTTTAGTGCATCCACATGCAAAGTTGAAATAATTCTTTGTAATGTCAATTCTAATTAAAGATCAGTAGTTTAAATTATTTGTGTTGCCACACTTCCTCAAAATTAGTTGCTTATGCTTTGCAGCTATGGGCATTAAAGAGTTTGTCAAATTGAGAGTAGTTTAGCTGAAATGTAGTTGTTGAAATTCAAAACTGTAATCCTGAAAAATATTCAGCTGCTGCTATACCCCATTATAATTTAATGTTACCTTGTTTTTTCACTTTAAAGTTCTGTGGATGTCTAGAGTTGGTATTATTCAAGAACTGGCACCAGTCCAGTCAGGATGAACCAGTAGCTTAGTCCCTGTGTTCTGCTTAATTATTACTGGTGTCTAAAAGTAAAGCATTTTCCTTGTCCTTGAGGAAGTATAATTAATTTAGTTCTAAGTTACAGTTATAAAGAAGTATAGCCTTAGGGTTCTGTGTTGCTCCCAAAATTGTATATTTTTTGTTCAGAGATCATTAAATATAATACTCATGTATGTAAAGTATATTCATCACCCTGAGAGGAATAAGTAAAAGACTGGATTTCCTTCTCTGTAAACTGTGGCAATGAGTGGCAGATACTGAACACTAGTGGATCATGACTCTCCCCAGTTCACCTGGAGCCTGGAAAGAAGGACACTGTCCTATAATCAGGATTTGACCCTGCTGAGGCAGAGAAGGCAGTTAGAGCAAAGGTTCAGCACTTTCCAAGTGTTGTTCTAACCTCAGAGGCATTACACAGTGACACTGACACCACCAGGAGGAATGCAGGTGTGTAACATGTCATGAAATCCATCCCATGCACAGCTGCTGCTCCTTGCTCTGTCAAGGATTGTTTACAGAAGTGCATTCATCTGACAGCTGAACAACACTCTCTTTTCCTTTGTAACTCACCTGGGCAGGCCCATCTCCTTCTCACACAGTGGGAGAAGCTCCATGAGAGGAAAACTTGGACATCTATCTTCAGGAGAAGTTTCCAGACCTTTGTGGAATACAACTAGAATCATCTTACTGAAGATGGACACATTTTAGCCTCTTGTCTGTGTTTTCTAGTTTGCATAGTGTGTAGTTCTTTTAAGTGCCTCTTAGTTCCATCTGTTCTAATCTCTTTTTTGTTTGTTTGGGTTTTTTTTGCATATGCTGTTTAGAGAGCTACATGTCTCACCCAGGTTTGTAGATCCAGAAATACCTCAGGCATCAAAAACCCTTATTGGCCTGAATCTTCTGTCATACCAGCTTTTTCTTTCAGAACTGGAGAACAGGGGATGGCTGATTATCCACAGCAAGTGATGTGGTGATCACAGCATTTTAACGTAATTCAAGCATGCTTTGTGTTGTTTGAAGTGATCCCAGAAAAATACTTAGAGTTTTCTTAGTTCAGCCTCTTGTGGCCAATTGGTTTTTATTTGTGCCATTTAATGGATATGGTGCAGAATTCCAACAAAGCATCTGTTGCTAGTGATAACACGTATATACACACACAGTCCAGGGAAAATGTTTTATGATATTTTGCTGCACATTTGTATAGGTAAAGACTGAGCTTCCAGCAGTGGAATGTCTCCACAAAATTAATTTAAAGGGCAGTTTGCCTAATAAAGATCTTCCGTGACAAGTACATTAAGTGGTCATTTCAGACATACATAGTATCACAGTATGGCCACTTGTAACTACTAGTTTTGAGAGTACTGAAAAGGAATTGAGAAGGGAATTAGAACAACTGATGCAGCTACTCTGCCTCTAAGGATGTGTGGAGATGTGCTTCTCTACTGTTTCAATACTCTGCTCAGTTTTTGCCACTTTTCTGCAGGGTTCAGAAGTCTAGGTTTTGGCATGCATGTCTGAAGTGTTTACCTGCACACTGTGTTTAGTTTGTCTTTTATATACTTTTGTCAGTATTACTCAGAGTCAGGAGACATGAGGTAAATGACAATAGAAAAACAATGACTATTGCTAATTCCTGCTGATGTGCAATCCTTTTGGTTTTTTTCAAAGCACACATGGAACAATACAGTTCCAGTTTCCCTACTTACAGAATTATTCTAGGCCTTAATAGAAAGAAATGTAAATGTAGACAAAATCTGTACTGTTACTGTATTATAAAATATTTTACAGCTGTTAGTCATGTGACGTTGTGGGGTCTTTTATTTTAATGCTGAAAGCTGGTAATGAGGAGATTAAATAAATTGTTTAAGGCCCAGACCAACTTGCACAAGATGAAAAATGGATTCTGTCAGGTAGGACTAGAAGCCTTCTTCCAGGCTTATGAAAGAACTTTGCTTGAGTTGTGTGCATTTTGGTCTTGGAAGTTACACTGGAAGCTTTATGTGTTTTAGGAGGTCACATTCTATGCCAGCAGATTGAATCAAGCTACTTATGCCAAGTAAGGATTTAGAATTGAGGCATGGTCTAGCTGAGGGTTTGCAGAGGCTGATCTACCATCCTATGCAGTCCAGCACACAGCAAGAAGTTGCTGAGGCCAATGGATGGTACACAGCCCTGCATTCAGTGCTGGTAAACATGAGCCCCTCTGCCTTTCCCACACACCTCACAAAGAACAGAAGGATAAAGTTTGTGGTGTCCTCATCTGGACCATGTCATGCATACAAGGCTGGTGTGATTCTGGAGCAGGCTGACAGTAAAAGCCTTTGAAATCTGAAGCCCAATCTCTGCATGTGCTTTTGGCAATGAATTTGTGGCATCACTCCTCTTTCTGGTAGGGAAGTTCCAGCTCAGGAAAGTTATCACAATTAGTATTCTTAGTGGAAAGCATAAGGATTGATTTGGACTGAAATACAAATTACTCTCTTTCCCTGGAGCTGATCCTCCAGGGCAATTTGAGGTGAGTCTTTTTCCCATTTCTCTCTTAGACTTGACAGAGGTAAGTAAGAAGCACAGACAGGGAAAGTGGCCGTTCTCTGCCTGTTCCAAAGCTGTCAGAAGAGATCCCTACTTTAAATTTCACTTGAGGGAAGCAAATACATTTTTTATGGGAGTTTATAAAAGCTGTGTATTATCTGTCTTTTCTGTGTCTTTTGATGTGCGGCATTTTCTTTTTGTCTCTTTGACTCTAGTCAGAGCTGTGCTCCTGAACCTCCAGTGAGTCGTCTGGGTCATAGGCAAAGACACTCAGAAATGTTTGCAGTTTCAAAGCTTCATCATGAGAGTTTTCTAGGGCAATGGCTAGATGTATCTTCTGATCTTCTATCTTCAGTGCTTACTACACAATAAATAATTATTTAAAACAGAAGTGTTAATATATCTCTGCCCTTTAGGTATTAATGGCTCAATGATAGTAGCTGTCATGCTGGTTGTTCTGTCAGTCTTTCTTTTCTCTGTAAATCCTGCCCTTAGGATCTTCTAAGTTCTTGCTTTTGGCTAAATTTTGTATGTGGCATTTCAGCATGGAAATGAATTTGTGTCAGAGTAGGTTTAAAATTGGGTCAGTAATATTTAAATTGCATATGTGTGGAGAGGAAGAGGCAGCACCTGTGATCCCAGCACTATTAACTCTGCTCTGAACACTAGCATGTCATTTCTCTATATGACAGGAATTTTCCTGCAAAAAGAGGAAGAGGTAGCAGTAGTTTCATATTGCTGCTATTAAGAATTTGT